TAAGAGTAGAGGGAGAGAAATCCCTGTAAGCTGAGGTGTTTGGAAAAGGAGATGCTAGTAAAATGAAGGCTATAAAAGAATTTTGACAAGTAGATACAAGGATAGAAGTGAAAAGCTACTTCAGGTGGAGAGAAAAATGCAAATAAAGATAAAGGAGAAAGGAAAAGTGTGTTCAAGAGGGAGCAAAAAATCTAGCTTAGTAGAACCATGGAAAATAGCAAGAGGTAGGGCCTGCAAGAGAAGGCACGTGTGGATAATCATCAGCCTTGATTGCTTTCTTAAATATTTAATGCTTTTATCATGTTGATGAATGTGGTGGAGTTAAACTCATGTATTCAGAGTAGAAGGATAATTTTGACAGAAATGTGGAGAATCCATTGGATAAAAGAGAAATGAGGAAAAGAGAAGTAGTTAGGAGGTGTTTCCAACAGTTCAGGTAAGAAGTAGAGAAGGTCTTAACAAGGATGAGAGATGAATTTGAGTGACATGGCAAAGAGGGGATCAAATGACTATAGTGACCAGCTGGTTATGGGTTCTTCATATAAAAGAAGCTGAAGATAGTGCTTGGGTAACAGGCAGGAGGTGATTCCACTTAATTAACTGAAGATGTAAACCAGAAGACAAATTGGTAAGGAATATGATAAATGTAGGCTAGTACTAGAAAATAATATGAGTTTATTGTAAGTATGCTCAGGCCAAATGGTAATTCTAAACATATTTGTTTATGTGGAATGTTCCAAACCAAATCATCAAACAGTACCTCGCTTTATAATTAACATCAGCACTCTGCCCCCAAATTCCTGCACGTGCCATGATCTATCAAAATTACTTTAGGGCCGGCCCCGTGGCTCACTCGGGAGAGTGCGGTGCTGGTAGCGCTGAGGCCGCGGGTTCGGATCCTATATAGGGATGGCCGGTGCGCTCACTGGCTGAGTGTGGTGCAGACAACACCAACCCAGAGTTATGATCCCCTTACCAGTCAAAAAAAAAAAGAAAGAAAAAAAGAAAATTACTTTAAACACCTCATTCTAATATTTCTCCCAGTTTGTTCTGGTCTTCTATGATCAACCTTCAAATTTACTTTCTATAGTTATATACCAACTCCTGGCTTAATAAAACCCACACCTTAATTAAATGTGTTAATTCTGTTTAAAGGAATGCATATTAAAATCACACCTTGATCTCTCTACTCAGTGTTTCTTCCACCTGGAAAGTTCTTAGTTTCCATCCAAATTTTTATAACTTTAAAGAATCAACCCAAATACCACAACATCTTAAAGCCTGCCTTTACAGAGCTAATTATACATGTTCATCCCTTTTTTTATCCGATGCCACTCATTTATACCTCTATTATTCTATTTTGCATAAAATCTTTATGTAATTATCATATCCCTCTTACTTAATTAAAAGCTCTTTGAGTATAGATACAACGTACACCTCTTCATTACTTGCCCATAACAGGTACTTAATAAACTTAATTGAAATCAGATATCTGCCAATACCCATAAATGATGCTAAAAGCAGAAAAGTTCAATAGGAGAATACAAATATTTGAAATATAATCCATCAGAGGGGAACAATATTTGACACTGGACTAGGGCAATGCTTCTTAAACTTTAATGTGTGTAAACAGATTCCTGGGCCTAAACCCTGAGATTTTGATTCACTAGGTCTTAGGTAGGGCCATGAATTTGCATTTCTAACAAATTCCCAGATGCTGTTGATGCTTGTGGACAGTGAACCCTAACATACTGAGCACTAGTTTAAGGAATAAGCTTGATGCCTGAATGCCTGGACTTAAATTCCACTACTATAATTTACTGGTTTTATGATCTTACGTTACCAAATTTCTTTAAGCCTCAACTTCCTTGCCTGTAAAATGGCAATAATAATGGAACCCCTTATGACTGATAACTAAAACTAAACTAAAATAGTTGATCTATAAAACATGCTTCTGGAAGTATCTAACATATAGTATGTGCTTACAAATTAAATGTGAGTATTTAATAGTGCAAATAAGTTAACAGATTCCTAAAGAGCAAGGGTCATTAAACTATGGCTTGCAGGATAAATCTGGTTCATTGCCTGTTTAGGTAATGCTGGTGGCCAACAATTAGCTTTTTATTTTTTAAATGGCTGAAAAATGTAAAAGAAGAATATTTTGTAACACAAGAAAATTATATAAAATTCAAAGTTCAGTGTCCATTCAGTGTGATTAGAATACAGCCAAAAACATTTGTTTACATATTGCCCATGAATGTGTCTGTGCTACAACAGCATAGTCAAGGATTCATATGACAGACTATATGGCCAGCAAAGCCTAAAGTGTATGCTATCTGGCTCTTTACATTCAAAGATTGCTAACCCCCAAGATACCACCAAGTGATTTAATATGTGAATTTACTAGAACTAGAACCATCAATATTTCTGTTGTCTACAACAATAATGTTCAGTGGCTATGGTTTATAATGTAACAGTACCAAAGTAATGAAAGATTCTTAGAAACCAAATAATAAAAAGAATTGGGAAATAAAATGAATTTGAGAGATTCGTGGTGAAATGAGGTAATTACCATCAAATCTCCTCAAACCAGGAAATGCTATTAGAAAGCCCAACCCACTTATATATATATACACACACACACGCACACACATATACATATATAAAAGCAATACGTGTTTATGGTATTTGGAAAATACAAAAATGTATGCAGAATGTAAATTGGTTATATTCCCAGTATTAGAGATAACCATGTTTAGACATTTTTGTTTTTACAAAATTGGGATGTTATTGTACAAAATGGTTATATGTATTTAATAGGACATTTCTCCAACATCCTCATATATTCTCTGAGAACATTGTGTTTAATGGTTAATGATGTTACATTGTTCAGATATGCCATAATGTTTATTCTTTTCATTAGCTGATTTTAGGTTATTTTAAGATTTTGTTATTATTTGTAAATAATGCTATAATAAATAAACTTGCTTATAATTTTTTGGCATATCTATGATTTTTTCCTTCTATAATAAGTTACTATAATAAAACTTTTGTCTAAATTTGGGCTGCTTTCAACAGAAATAGAAGAATGAGATCAGATACAAGGGTAATGAGACAATCTCTCTCTGTCTCTGTCTCTTTCTCTCTCTCTCTCTGTTTTTTCGGATTCCCAAACCACCCCAATGTGGGGGATTTCCATCTAATTAAATGACATATTACCTTTCACCAGCCATAATTTTTTTTTCTATATACCCCATTCTTAGACCCATACCATTACAATCAGGAAAACAAAATCCACCCCCCAGCCCGCTTCCCTTAGAAAAAAAGGCAATAATCTTATCAAAAATATTTTATTTACAAAAAAATCAATTATACTATACATCCTATACTGGAAATACATTGAATAATTGCTAAAATAAATACAGGCAATTGATTCAACTTTTTATAAGAATGAGAGAATTTGACATTTGAATGTTATCAAAGCTTAACTTAGAACATAAATAGTTAAAAAGGCAAACTCAAGTTTTATTCTCATTTATTGGCATGGTGTGTTTGTTTTTCACAAGCTCTCCAATCAGTGAGAGTCTGAGTTTCAGAATGTTATGGACATTTTTGTACTCTGAAGGTAGAATGTGCAGCTTTTTCTCAGGCAGGATAGGTGTAACACAGATGTCTGCACAAACAGGAAGCAGAAAGGCAGGAAGCACATTGTTAACACTTCGCCACGTGTCTCTGCTTTACCACAATGCTTTTTAATCAACTATTCATATATTCATATTGTGTTTTTAACAGAGGTCTACACAGCACCAGCTACAAGGCCTGATGGATCATGTAAAAAGTCAAACTGGTTAATTGAGGTTCTGTAGTAACTCAATTAGCCAAGTTCAGAGTAACTGGTTTATCAATTTTTATCTGTCCCAATTCTTGGTATTTATTAAACCTTCATATCATTTCTACTGTGTAGACATTTTTATGTAGGCCAAGAACAGGAGAGATGAAGCAATTCTCTGTATAATTTAGCTTGAATATGCCAATTTTGAATCTATATATTTTATATTTATTATAATTTATCCAACTCACCCATGTAAACATCATACTAACATGTAAAGTGAACTGGCAAGCTGAAAAAAAACAAAGTTGGAACATGTTCGGTATGTAGATAGGATCTGGTGAATTCAGGCCACAGAACAAAATCTTTGATGAACTATACTGTGTCTGTCCAAATTATACAGATAATTTTTCCATGTTCCATTTTACTTGGCTTGGGAAAACACTGCCAGAATCTCCAAAGATTATTTATCTTTGATACTCATGTTTTGTCCAGTGCTGTATGCCTAGTGTTTTATTTCCAAGTCTAGCATTCCCTTTTTTTAAAATCTTATGAAAAAATTGCACTTTTCTACCCCTTTGGCCTTGATTTTCAATGATTTCTTTTCATACGCACTTAAGTATGTATTGTTACTCCCAAAGTAGACAGGTATATTGGCCTTTTCTAAAAGAAAGGAAAACAAAAAGTTAAAATATTGAAAGTTTAAATACTTTTTCACAGAAATAAACTATTCAACTTTAAAAGGTAGAAAGAGAGAGAAACATTTTATTCTTTCTATCATGAACATCAGTCAAACAAGCTTCACATTTTGGGCAGGGTTTTTGAAGTATGAATTTTTTCAGAACCTATCTCATTAAAAAAATAAGGAAGAACAGGTGTATCTTGGCAGAGAAGTAAAATATAGAATATGCAAAATTTGTTTTAAAAATTGGCATACAAAATTTAAAAACACAGTACAATTATATCAAAATACAGCACAGCCAACGGCCTCTAAAATTTCCTTTGGCATTTCGTTTGGTAGAGTTAAAGAGAAAATCCTTCCTAAAAAAATTAGCTATCAAAACAGTCCATAAGTTAGGTTGTATAGATTGAAAGACCCTTTCCTTGAGTTTCCAAAATCCTTTTCTTCCATGATAACCCACATAAAGCATGGCTAGTGAGGTATATAGGGCAAAACATTGTCAGGCAGATGCACAGTAAGGAAAAAGTGCATAAACAAAGAATTCTTCCCATTTTCATAGAAATAACAGGTTAAATCTGAGTTTCTCCTTGTTGATGTATCGATTTACTTTGGTAGAATAAAAATAAACCTTAGAAATGTCTTTGTTCAAGTCCGAGCAGCAGTGATATGTCTAGTTTGGTGGCACTGTCTGATGCCCCCATACTGTACAGCCCCTAGAGGAACTAAGGTGTTGTGTGTGTCTGCATGTGTGACTGCAAACGTCAAACAATGTAAGATCATACATCAAGCACCATGTCATACTGTTGTCCCTTCTTCCTCCTGCCACACTTATTGATGAGAACCACATACAGCGTCAAAAGCATGACCCAATAGCAAGCATAGAGCAACGTTCCAACAATTAGAACTGTCTGTTTGGATTCTGAAAATGGCTTTTTAGATTCCTTATAAATGGTGAATATTACACCACCCAGGAGGATTGTAAACCAAACTGATACTGGAATGAGTCCTATGAAATTAACAACAATGGTTTTCCTTCCAGATGTGCCCCAGCCAGCTTTGTTTATCGTTGCGATTGCAAACATCTTGGCGGGAAGTAAACTTGACATGTATAACACTGAGTAGAGAGACATAAAGACCATGACGATGTTTCCTCTAAGGCAGCTGGCAAAAGATGATTTTATGAGACCTACTAGCTGGACAGTTAACAAGAAGAGGAGGATGTTCCAAATTTTACCCCTGTAGAAGAGCTGGATGACTGTGGCAATGAGAAAGAAAGGAAAGAATCCAGTGATAACCGCTTCGTAGGTCATCCACAAGTGATGTTTGTGAAACCACATTGCATTGTACAACCACTCTCGGAAGTAGGACTTGCTCCAACGGGTCTGCTGGTTTAGCCATCTGAGATATTCTATAGGTGTTTCCGTAAGGCACTTAGATCGAGCTGTGTATTTTGTAGCATAGCCCAGACTTAGCACCCGGTTCGTTAGATGCCTGTCATCCCCAAAACTACATTGATTGCCCATAAATTCCTGATTGTACCAGTCTTCCACAAACTCATGCAGCAAGGAGTTTCTGTACATTCCCAAAGGTCCGCTAATGCACTGGACACATCCGAAATATGACTGACAGGCTCTTTCTATATTAAAAGCCATCCAGTATCTCACACTGCTGAGGAAGGATATCCAGGAATCGTACTTGTTTAAAATCTGCAAGATGGGAAAAATAAGTAATAGGTAAGTAAGTTTTAGCTTAAAATACCAACAAAACATGCACCAGCCTGAGGTTACTACCTGGAGTAAAATTTGTTATTTTTGTCCTTCTATTTTGTCTTCCTTCCTCTTTTTGAGTCTCCCAGGCACTCTTTCCTACCATATAAGATTTGAAGGTTTATATGTCCTAGTTCCTCTCGTCCTGGTTAATTTCCAACTCATCCAATTTGGGGCTGTTAAGTTTCCTTCTCCTTTCTCCACACTTTTATTTTTGCAATGCCAGTGATAATAGAGTTCTCTCTGACCTTCCTGCAAAATTTACATTCTGATGTAATGCTTTATATAAAGGCTATTGAAAATTATCAGCTTTTTCTTGGCAATATTTCTAAATTCTCTCCTCTGTTTCATTTTTGTTCAGTTTTCATCTGGATTTTGCATGCTTCTGTTTTATCACCAGGCTATTTCTTTGTCCTTTCAAAGGCAATTTATTGCCTTCGTTATCAACATGCATATATAAAATGTATTATACAGCAACACAATATATCTAAGTTTTTAAGTTAATTTTCATATTCTCTAAATGTTGTATCCCTACTGTTTCCTCTGAAAGTTTCAAATTATAATTTGCTCATTAAAAAGTATATGCACGACATTCAAAAAAATTAAAAAATTAAAAAATAAAGTCAATGTTTTATGTGCTTGTTACCTTTTGCTAAAATCTAACCTGATATTTGCAAGGGATTCCTATTTTAATCTTCACATGTTTTTACATATTCATTTTTTGATAGCATAAACTACAAATTACTTTCTTTAATGTTTGTTTCACTAATTGGTTCTCCATTGACAGCACATGATGGGCCATATTGGAAAACCCACTTATTATTTCTTTGCTTTTCTTACGAGTATAAATTTGAGTTTCTGTTTCTCCATTCTTCCTTAGTTTTCCAACTCTCATTTTTCATCAACTACACACTGGCCAACTTTTAAATATATAGGTATAAGATACATAATTTATTCTCTATTATACTTTCATTTCTTTACTCTTGTAACTAAATGAACTCCAATATCAGATTTTAGAAGAACATTAAACATTAAGTTGTGGCCCAAGGATATCTGGCAGAAATCATTACACACTTATGTTATGTTGCATATAACTTATCAGGCACTACAGACATTGGCTATACGCCAGGACTAAGCAAGATAATTCTACATTATTTCAACATAGATAGAGAAAGAGACAGTGAAGTGGGTCCAAGGAACATTCTAATGTGTCTCCATCACCAAGAACAATATCTGGTACAGACTTGGTGTGTAATAGATATATACTCAATGAGTCAGTGGGTTGGAGTGCTATTAAAAGTGTCTCGTGCAAAAAATGAAGCCTTATGCACCTGGACATCTCCCCCAACACCTCCAACCATGGGGTCTTCTTCCAAAACTTTCACCATCTCCACAGACGAGGCAGGGTCAAGCATGGTGTCTGAATCACAAACCTGTAAAGACGAAAGAAAATGAGTTAAAGGAAAGGAAGAACTGAGTTCACTTCATACAGTCAAAATTGGGCATAGATACTATGCTGTGAGCCTTTTATTGTCACAAGGCCTTAGGGAGCAAGTATCACAGGGACAGCAAAGGGTTTGTTATATCATGGTCAATACAAAGACATTATTTTTCCAGAAAGCTCAATATTTAAGTTAATAACATTGCTGGGTAGAACAGCTGAAATGATGCCCTGGGTATGTCTTGTAGAGTGACCAGCTTGTTCCAGTTTGCCACGGAGTTCCCAATTTTGCCAAAGAAAATCTTATGTCCCAGCTAACACCACAGTCTTGGAAAACTGGAATGGTTGGTCACCCCAGATGTCTTTTTATTTTTTCCAGTTGCCTTAAATAAGGCTTTTAGGCAACTTGTCTCTCAGGTCTAAATGATAAGAAAATCCTGTGACAGTATTGAAAGGGAGACATATTTAGCAGTTATTTCCACCCATTTTAATATGATGAATAAAAGACAGGAGAGCAGTTCTTCTACAGGTAACTGCACAGATCTGAAGCAAGTTGCCCATATGACCTGGGCTTAGCAAATGACATTGTATCAGGAAGAGAAATAGCATGACCTTCAGAACACCTTTTTATTTATGATATAAATCATAGTAGAATACCTATTTATAAGAACAATCTTTATATGGGCCAAAAAAAAAAAAACAGCAATTCTGAAACCAGAACAACTACAACTTTAAGAAAATTATTGATATTAGTCTATTCTTGTGCACTCCTGATAAACATTTTTATTAAGGGTCAAAGGGGACAGGGTTATAAATAGTACTTTTTTTTCCAGCCTGATTTGAGCCACTGAAAAATTAAACAGAAGAATAAAGATGATATGGAGAACAGGGCTTATATCTGTGGAGAAGAGGGTTTTATAATTCTGTTGTGTATGGTGATGTTGGACCAGACGGTGACATCCTGCCACCCTCTCTGTTCTGGCTCTCATAGCTATGCCACACAGCAGAATCTCCTTATAATAACAACCCCCCGTTTGGCTCTGCCTGGTAGAATTCTAAGTACTTCCACTTCAGGGAACCATGCATGTTTCGGCCAGGCCAGCAGCTACTATTTGTGCTTTGGGACAGCCCCTTAATTTTCCTTTGGGGAACCACCTCTCTTCTATTCTCAATCCTAGGGATTTTTGTGCGTGACTCCATCTTCCCCACCTCCCTCAAATCATAAAACTGTTATTATTAGACAGACTTAGTCCCAAACAGCCTCTAAGTGGGGCAGATACAGTGTACACCCATTCAAAAGGTATGGCTGATGCCTGATCCTTGGGGGTAGCCCACTCCTAGAGAAAAGAGGGGAGAAGCGGGTCTACCCATTACTCCTTCCATACTCACCAGTCAGATTAAGCCACTCCTCTTCCCTGTGGAAAGAAGTGAGACACTGGCAAAGGCCAGGTGGGTTATACCAGTGGATGGAACTTCCTCCACATGATTAGAGAAAAGCAGAAGGAAAAAACTGTCCCCTCTCCCTATCCTTGCAACATTTACTAATTGGACATAGTATTCTTTTCTGCTGAATGCAGTAAGGCCCTAGCAGACATAAATTGATCAGAACTGACGTGTGATGAACCAGTTTGTCATCCCCTTCCAGACAATGAATAACTTGATTGACAGAGACTGGGTATTAGATGTAATTTCCATTATTCTGCCATCAAGTCTGGCTATACTGGTTCAACTGAATCAAGATTTAGCCTATTTCTTACATCAAAAATAACTATCTTAACAGTTCCCCAAACTATAAAAATAGTAAGAATTTGATGTAACAGTTTTGAATTAAAAAAACCCAAAAAACTAATCAAACAATTTGTGCAAACATAAAGTATTAGAGTTGAAGGAGACTTCAGATACAGGTAGCATGAGTCAGTCACATTACTAGCTAAAGAATCCCAACATTTTTAAAAAGTATATCAATTTTACTAATAGCTATATTTTTTATCCTGAAAAAGTTTTATGCTAATGAAGAATGCAGTGGAAAATAGCAATTTAAATGCATTATTGGATCTTATGACTCAAGGAACCATGGGGCATCCAGTTATAAAAAGTGAACTTATCATCCTTCCAGATTTAACTAATCATAGCAATTTGGGGGTTAACCTTTGAATTTCTATTTTATTCTCTTATTCAGAAGCACCCATTTTCTAAATAAAAACCCATTCATTAGTTTTGGCTTTCCATTTAGGTTCAGCCTAGTCTCACTTATTTTTAAGAAAAAAAAATTTAAACAGAAACTAGGCATTAGTTTTTTCACTGTAGAAAAAACGATTTTTCTAACACTTGGGTTTGTCTCCAAGCAATACAAGCTTCAGGAGCATAGATGAATTCCTTTGAAAGCAGTGTTCTGCCTCTCCCATGCCTTCTCCATCACTGCTTTGTATATGTCTATGACCCTGCAGAAGGCCTGTAATGAGGGTAGAGAAAGGTGAAGGCAGAAGTCCAACCCTCCTTTAAAATCCAGCATCCTGAGTGTATGGCCACACCCACCCCTATTGACTCAAGCTGGGAAAGGTAAAACCAGAAAGCTAAAATAAGACTAAAAACAACAGGAAGGGAGCAATCCAGAATTAATGTTCAAATAACTCTTCCTGCTTGTGAGTACAAGCAGGCTAGGGCAACTGCCTCTATGAAATGACTAAACTTGAACCAAACATTCTGAGGTTGTGCATATTTAAATTGGTCCCCGCCCCTCCCAGTTTCCAACAGCAAAGTGCCAGAAGTTCTCTAACACAGATTGCTCATATGGTGAGTTTAGCTAGTCAGATAAAAAGCTCTCAGAAATCTCTTGGGAAATGGTTTGTTATCGTGGGATTTAAGAGCTTTAAAGAATTTCACTTTCTGGATGCTATTTGGTGATAGAATGCCAACTAGAAAGCCAGTCTTTGACAGTCTGTAAAGCATGTGCATTCAGAGACACAATGACACTTGCATGTATTAGGGTGTAAAGAGTATAACTAGCACTTCTTAAAATCTATAGGATAGGGTCAGGATTTCTAGTTGTCTCCTCGCTAATTAATAACAAGTATGCAGTTTCATGAATGTTGGCTATTTAGCTCTTGGCTACAATCTGTGGGAGACATAGAACAGTTCACACAGAGCTGAACCTCAGGAAAAACTATAGGACATGATTTGCACACAGGAAACAGAACAAATCAAAATGTCTTTTTGGCCACGCTGAGAGTATCACTGTAATTTGTGGAAACCACATGATCACTAGTTATAAGCTTTCTCACTAGGAGATACGGAAATACAGCAATGTCACCAACTTTTGAGTAAAAAGAGTGGAGAATATCAGGACAAAAAGACATTATTGGGTGGAACCAGCCACCTCAGTCTTAACCACATCACCACCTACAGTGCATAAGACCATTGTTCTTCCCGCTTCCCTGTTTTAGCCAAGAGTGAACACCCTCCCTCTTCCTATCTAAAACCAGGACTGACAAACTAAGACTTACAGGTCAAGTCCAGCCTGCTACCTCTTTTGATTTGGCCTATGGGCTAAGAATAGTTTTACAATTGTAAATAGTTGAAAAAAAAATCAAAAATGTAATATTTTGTGGCATATGGAAATTATATGAAATTCAAATTTCAGTGTTTGTAAATAAAATTTTATTGGGTTCCAGCCATGCTCATTCATTTACATATTATCTACAGCTGCTTTCACACTACAACAACAAAGTTAATCTACCTCGCAACAATCTAAACTAAAATCTTCTCTAGAAATATTGTTATTGATTCTACCAAATGCCTTTCAAATACTGAACCCAAGTCTAAAATGCCTAGTCTCTATGTTTCACTTTTTTAAAGTCTTTCCTTTTAGGTTGGTTGATGTATCTCCTCCCTACCTCCCATACCACTTTAAATGGCATTGACAGCTAACACAGCAAGGGAAAATCTTTTTTTTTTTTTTCCTTTTTTTTGTCTTTTTTCGTGTCTGGCAACGGATTGCAACCCTCAGTGTCGCGCCCGTACCGGACTGGGACCGGCAACGGGATCGCAACCCTCGGTGTTGCTCCCACACCTCGCTCAGCCAGTGAGCGGGAACCGGTCTGTATGTGGGATCCGAACCCTCGGCAGGAATGCCACCGCGCCACCGCGCTCCCAAGCGGCGCACTGTAGCAGTGCGCCACCGGGCCGGCCCAGCAAGGAAAAATCTTAATCAGGCCGGCTGACTTCAATGAGGAAACAGGATGAAATAAATCAAGACTCCAGGTGCTACTCACTTCACCCTTTTCCTACTTGTAAGCCTCAACCTTTCTTAACCTTGACCCTTCATCTTAACCTTGACCCAGCAAGACCATCTTTAGAGTGTGTGTAATTTACTCTTGGTCCCTGCCACGACTTAACCACAAAGCAAATGGAAATTCTGTATCTCATTCCCCTCCCCCCTAAAAAAAAAACAAAACAATTCCTCAAATAAAAATGGGTAAGGTCCAGAACAACAAAAGAAAATTCACAAATAGTTACTTACTAGCAAACATGGGATGTTGCCATCTCCCTGAACTCCTAAAAGTACAACACTAGAGTTAACACACCACTGAAAGGAAGATAAAGCTCTATACAAGGTTTTGGAAACAAAACGATCTGGGTCCCAATCCATCATTTACCAGTTATGTAAACTTGGACTAGTTTTTAACCTTGAACTCCTTACCTCACCTCTCTAAGCCTTCATTCCTCAGGTGAAAAATATGGATAATCATATCCACCTTGTAAGTTTGTTGTAATGGTTAATTAATGAGATAATGTATGTAAAGCACTTAATAACAGCTGACTCAGTAAATGCTCAATAAAATGAAAGTCATGTATGCTGAGTGATAAACAAAAATCAGAGGCACAAATTCAGGACACTAGTCCAAAGAGAGAAGGGGTCCTTCTTATAATTATTGTAAATAAGCTATGACTCACTTCGAGAAAGGTAAATGAGTGCCTCTTCTAATACCCAAC